TATATATATATATATATCGGCAGCGGTCTTCAGCACATTCGCACACACACGTACACTTTGCCTTCACCACATCTGTCCCGGGCAGTATTGGGTTCAGCCGCTAATTAGAAGACTATTTACGACTGGGTCCGCTGCGTTTGCGCATTTTTTGTGCGCGCGCCGCGTACGTGAAAACCGTGGGACTTTTTCTATCCGAATTTCATCAGTTTTCTTGTTTCCCTTATCTCACTCGTTTCATGCACACACGCGCGCACCCGCGCTCGTTTGTGTACCCAGGCACAAAGAGGACAAATAGGTCTGTTTCTGACAGGTTCGAGTGGACATCCTGACCGACCTACTGTTATTCGTCCTGATAAATATGTCGGATGTTTTTCAGTTCTTCAACATCCAAAATGATTTGTTTTTGAAGCCTTCGGTCATTGTGGGTGCTGTTTTTAGTTGGTTCGTCTGCGTGATTTCGTGCTGGACGATGAGTTGTTACAGATGCTTTTCGATTTCGGATTTAGCAATGACTTTGTCGTTGTCAAAGTCACCGAGTCAAAAGTGTGTACCACGTTCTTAGGATAAAATCCTGTGAAGGCTTTTCTCTCGGTGTGGTAAGCAGTGATGAGTTGCACCTAGTGTCACTCTATCTCTGTCGGTCATACGTTTTTGAATTATACCGGTGAGAGGTATATAAATACGAACATCTTCACAGTCACACTGGTTTTCAGCCTACTTGGGTTATTTTGTGCATGATTGACATATGAGATCAGTGCTGTTTCGGGGTAACACAATGGGGATTGTCGATGACCCAGTACTCAATTTTACACGGGGCTCTGCTCGTTCGTTTAAAGTTGAACACCGTGACTCAGTATTCCGAGTGACAAACGTCAGGCGCAAAAGTACCTTTAGGCTGAAATATATGTTCCTCTCCAAGTATCATCGATTTATTGTGTTTCGTGACTAGAAAAGTGTAAAATTGCACTGAAATTTGGCAAAACCTTTTTAGTACATTAGAGAAACCATAGCGGCATAAAAAGCTCATTGCATTTAATAGGGTATCCCCTGGGGGATGTCACACGTAACTGGTTTTCTTTGTTTTATGTTAAAAACTGAACACAGTACCGGATATCTGATAAACCAAAATGTTCCAACTTGAAATACCCGAATAGAGTAATTTGTTCTCACTTATGAAGTCACTTGTTGAAACGTGTGAAGCGCTGCTGGTGCGGTTAGATGATTCGATATCTAGGACAGTCTGCCTGTTGTGCTGAGCACTCTTCTATCATGCAACTGTTTCAAATCAACTGCCTGTCGTTCCGGTAGGGAACTTCAGGTGGCAAGACCATTCGGAACCGCCGCTACGCTTTAATTCTTTCAATAATCGAAAACGCTACGTAGACTTTCCATGTTTTTTGTCTTTTTGTATGACGTCTTTGGATATGCGTTCGTTGTATTTGTCAATCAAAAGCGTCATCTTTCACGTATCTGTGTTGAGTCATCGTGACCACATCTATACAGTAGATAAGCTGCGGTTTAGCTTTCTTGTTCCACTTCTCTTCCCAGCGAAAATACCTCGTAGTTCTTTAGCGCAGTTTTCAACTTTCTAGCTTACATATCCTTCCATTCACTATTTAAACCCCTTGTTTGAGGCTCCTGAATCGTTCTAGTGACCAGTTGTTCACCAACGATTCACCTGTCAACTCCGCACTGTAAGCGGTCTGAACCGGTTGTCGCTCATTAGAGCCGCGGCTGACAGATCTCACTGGCTGACGCAGCTCATCACTTCCTCCCGGTATTTTTTTCCAGGATATTGCCCTTTTTTCAATGTGTCCATCCAGTGCTGATTAATTCCTTTCATTGTCAGAATTGTGCCCTACTGTGGGTTGCAAACATTCAAAGGGCAGAGTTACTACTAAGTTCCCCTCTTTTTATCTACACCCGTCAATGACGATTGGAGTGGCGTGTTTGGTTGTTCGCTTTGTAGCCTGTCAGCCTGACTGGTCGAAATGAAGCTTACATTGTTTAGGTGTGCGTATTTGTCCTGGGGGTGGGAGGGGAGCATAGCATTTCACTCCCCTCCCCCTAAAATCGTGTTTTTCTATCTTCAGTAAGTGCATTTCACGTTGTTCCCTCGGTTCCATGTGTTCCCAAACGTGGTGAAAAGATTCGACTGGAACTTGGAGCTCAGCAGTGTTTCGTTCGCCTCAACCAGTTAACGTTGTGTGAGACTCGTGTACCATGGATTCATGCAAATGTATCATTTCGTTTGTATACGTAGCTTATCCCAGCAATTTGCTCTCAATGAATTGCTTCACGAGAATATTATCCAAGAAGAGCCCCGTTGAAGCAAAGTAACCCTGGCGGGTACCTTCTCTTCAGGAAACGATCCTCTAGAATCGAAGGGGAGACGCTTTCTGTTCCCCGTATTAAGCATCCTCATGAAAATATTATGTGCAATTCAATCGTATGTACTAGTCAACTTTCGAGGCAAATGGCTGATGTCGCAGGAAATGCTATTTTGACGGACTTCTGAACCGTACTTGATGTGGTTTGACCAGTGATCTAGCATGCGGTGCACGAACATCCTTAATTGGAACGTCACTGATACTGGTCGACTATTAGTCATTTAGTGGGTTCCAAGTCATTACTGCACTCGTCGACTGTAACCTGATAAGTTATTCTGTGGTTTTGGCCTAGAGTTTCGCTGGGATGACCCAGGAGTGGCAAGCCACCACTAGTATACGGGTTCATCCGGTCTAATCCAAGTTGTAACAACAAATGTCCGACTAGATACGACGAAAATCCAATTGGCGCCCGGTATTTTCTATTATTGGTCACCCCCAACAGGGATACCTTCGTCCACTGTTTCCGAACAGTGTTTCGCTGAGGAGTATCGAAATCCCACCCGGATACCTGACCAGACTACCTGACTCGATTATGGAGTTTTTTTCATTTCCACTTCAATCATCGTCGAAATTCCAGTATTTGCTTTCCTTAAGAACTCTATCTAACTGTGGATATCGATCAGGTGATGCTGTTTCGTTTATAACCTAGCTGCCTGCCCAAACACAACGACGTGGTGTCCATGGGTTATCAATACCTCAAAGTGCAGTAAAGACATGTACATCTGACAGACCCCGTAGATCACTCTTGGGAGGAGCATCTGTCCCTTCAAGCTGTCCATAAGAAATGAACCTGAAGTCACGTGTTGCACGATTCTAAGAGATTTATGTTGGGGCGCCGGAAGTTGCAAATAATTATAGAAGAAATTAAGCAGATGTAAGAGTTTTCGGGGAGTATGAATAGCGTGGGAACGTACTAGTGACTCGTCGAATCTCCCACAAAGGAAATCCTTGGCACTTCTATATTGAAGTATAGAATACGTTGTTACCATCATCTCCATTATGGGCACAAACGTGCCTACTTGTCGTGCAGGCTGGTAAATAGTCAGTTGGGGTGGGAGAAAGGTGGAATTCACGAATGAACAAAACCCAAAATTATCAGCAATAAGGGAGTTTCGTTTACTGTATGCAGCTAACAAGATACCTATGAAGCCGTAACTGATCTGATCTGAGACTGCTTTTTTCACGGTGTAGCTGATGCTTTCGTACACGGCGATTAGGTTCCTCGACCGAAAATGTTGACCAAACACACTACAAAACGAAAGCGTCAGTTCGGAGTTGTCTGTATCCCCAGAAAACCAGCTCTTACACATCTTTCCCTCAACCAGAGACCTCAAGGGTTTGTAATGTGTTGAAATATTGGTAGCTGGGCTGAGTTTATTGGTTGTTAATCAACAACAAAGATCACAAACGAACCGATAGATTCACTAAATTCGTTACAGTTCAAGTAGCCAATCACGTCAGAAGAAAACAGATAGCCTTCGAATGCTATATAAACGCACGCAGGCAAGGAAGAAGTACCCACCCAACTGCGCATTGATGATGTTCCCTCGTATGGTGACGAAACGTTTGCAAGCCAGTTGCCAAGCTCGGCGAACAGATCAACAGCCACCTGATCAACGACCAATAGACTTCAGGGGTCGCACTCTTGGGGGACTTTAATTCCAAAGTCCTCTTAGGTTTGATCTATCAAATACTTCATAAATCCTGGGGTTAGCGCACCAGTTGTTCTCACCAAAATTTTTTCATTCCAGTTCTGATGTCAAACCGTGTCGAACTTCATCACCGTATTTTCCTCCAACTGTTCGTATGAAACTAGGTTTTTGACATCATCAGCTGCTTAAACGGAACCATGCAGCCGATTTAAAACCGTAAACCACATGAAGTTGGTAGCAGTAAGAATTCTGCTACAAATATCAAAGTTGTCTCATTGACAGGCACTATTATCAGATTACTTTCACCAACCCTGTCTAGGCTTGAGCAACCTAGTGGTGTCCCAGTTCTCGTCTTTCTTTCGGATGGCATGGTAGCTAGGTACTGAGAGAGTGTTACAGCTGAACGATTATCGATTATTTAGTTTTACATGATAGAATTAAGTGGAACCTGATTCAATTCCCTAAGGGAAATTTTGTTTCTCTTCCTCTATTTTGGGGCATTGTCATTTTTTCATGTTCGATCATCCTGATTTGTTCGAGAAATATTGAACTCCTGACGTACAGGTTTCCTCTGATCATCACCTCGAGCTTTTTCAATGCTCAGAGTTTTAGTTCACAAGAGACTGTCGTACCCCATACTAAACCTTCACATCATCACCCTTAGCGTAAAAACACTGTCGCTCAACTGCCGCACAAGCCGTTTAGTTTCTACCTGATAGAAAAACATAAAGGACGAAAGTAAATAAACTTCGTGCTTGCCTATCGCAAAAAAATCTGAGCTGCCTGCACTTTTAAACAGCTACTTGGACAATCTGGATAGGAATTGACTGACTACATGGACGCCGTGACTTCGGTTAGTTACCATATCTTATAGCGTCTCTAACCAGGGGCAGATCGGAACAGAACCTAACAGGACACTTGACTTGGGCTTCCAAGTTCTACGGGTTGTAAACAATCAGTACTATGCACTAGAGTGGGCATTGTGCTCAGTTTCGGTGCTTGCATCTGACGTGTGCTGTACGTTCGTGCAATCACACAGCTCTCGTTGATCAGCAAAAGCGGTCTGTGATATCGTCGTCCAACTACTATTTACCGTTTATCTGGATAACTACACTAGTCACACAGCGTTGCCAAAACACATTTCCGGCTACTTGAATGAGGCGCTGAACAATCCGCATGACAGTTACAACAAAAGACTCAAAAATTGGCAGTGATAAAAATGCAGTGTCTCGCTCAATTCCTTCGGTTAGATTGATCAACTAGACAAATTTCATTGAATAACGAGAAATGGACACGATGGCGGGTTAGTGTGGAGCATGGTAACATTCCGAATGGAATCATCTCTGTCCAAGAGATTATATTGTGGGCACGGAATCCCTCTAATCGAAGTTCCTCTGGTCGTAACCGACCCCTCAGAATTGAAGTGGAGATATTTTCTGATTTACTCCCAAGGATGAAACATTACAACGGAAACACCATGTGCCATCGACCCAGATTTATTAGTTGACCGTCTCGAGTAGTGTATGTCATGAACCCACCTGATACACGAAGCCGCCACTCTATTAAACTCTTCAACTTGATTCGACTCAGCTAAGGGACAAGATGAAGCAATGTGCGGTGGTTCATATTTTCGTCGTGTTCCCGGTTATCACTGTTTTCGCCTCAACCTACTGGTTTCCAGCTCAGCCAGATGAGAAGAACTCAGTTGATGAAGGCCGGCATCCGTCGCACAGACTCATGGTGTTGCGCTAGTATGTGTCAACGGCAACCAGGCGAGAGTTTTGGACGTATGAATCACGTAGGTGGAAAATATCTGCAAATGAACCGTCGAATAACACTCGAATCCATGACTTCAATGCAGAGAGCGCGTGCTACGGTTCTTGTTGATCAGTTTCCTATCAGGAAATACCCCCGTGAAGGAGGCATTTGTGTTGCCTCCGGGGAGTGGTGAACTGTGTCAGGAATGTTGCTTTTAGTGCTTCACTCGAAGTATGGTTGAGAATGGGTGTTTATGGAGGTGCCGTCTTCCTATTCCTGGCGAATATCTCTGTGATTTCAACTTTTAATAGCAAACTCTCCTCTGTTCCTGGTGGCAACGGTGTTCCTCTGGTCGTTCAAGAGTGCACGCTAAGATTCAAGTTTAATTTATCGGGTTTTCACTAAGCCCTTCAGTGCCATTCGATCCTTATTGCGATCAGTCCAACAATCCCTGGAACGTGAATTGAATGTGGTCAGAGCTTTGTCGAATGTCTTCCTCCCAAAGACTGTCCTCGTCCAACCTCAGCAGAACTTACATTCATGTGCACCACGTAGGTCGAATTCCGGGTCTTCGATCTCAGCCTCGTAGGACGAATGATAGTTATTTTCTTCAACACCAATGGGCTGTCGTTGTCTCTAATTTCTGTTGTCTCACAAGGCATCAGACTTAAGTAATTTTTGTGTGAGCACGCAAAACGACTAGGCAAAGTAACTATGCGTTTTTTTTGCGATTCTGAGACCGTCGACCAGGAAGTTGTGTGTCCGAGCGCCCCATGTGATTACGAGATCCGACCACATCTCTTTCAAATAGTCGAAGCACCGAGCTCTTCGTCTCAATTAGTATGCGGTTAGACAACAGGCTGTAGTGTCCCTTGAAGAAAGGTCACCACGGAATGCCTAACTTCTGTTAGGGGGATTTCTCTAGAGGTTTTCCCTTGAGAAGATTGCACTAACGTTATACAAAGTCATATTATCATATTGGAGGCGATGATCATTAAATTTAGGAGAGAAACGCTTGCGGACTACGTCTTGTTCTGGATATTGTTCGGACACAAAGTGGAAAAATTTCCCATGATTGTTCTTTAAGACCATACTAAATTGAATATCGTCGTCCACCATTTATAAAACTGCAAAACGATCAGTCACTTCCTGTCGAAACTGTGTCACCGAACAATCGAACACTGAAGTTGTTTTCGGACTCTAACCTTCGTCTGCTACAGACTTTCCGAAAAGATGTAGTCTCCCAGTCAGGATTCGCTGATGAACTGGCTCAGGGATCACATTATTGGGACATACTGTTCTAAAAATTGCGACAATCGATAGTCATGTATACATATCAGTCTTTAACTAGGTTGAACGGTGAATCAATTATACAGTTATGACCTAGTCAGTTATCTTCAGTACCGCTCACGTCCACACCTCATGCAAACCATACTTCCGCTGTCAGCTAATCAAATCCTATGATCAGGAAACTTTTACATAACATGAAATGCTGTTCAAATCAGCCCGCTTGAACAATCTTTGTCCCGGCTAGATTAAATCAAGCTGGGAATATTAGATCAGGTACAGTGAAACCTCAACTGTGGCTGTCTTCCTTCAGCCCCCCTGATTTCCAACTGTTCCGTTCGGATCAATAAGGACAGATTTGTTCCAATATCGATAGCTATGCTATTCTTTTCTAGAAATAACGTGTGGACACAATGAGTGAAATACACTCCTTTATATAGCAATTTTGTAAACACAGCTGACCGAACTCAGTCTCTCGTTTATGATGTTCTTCGAAGAGTTTTCAGCAACCTTATGAGTAGTGTGTCACATCTATACAGTATGAAGTTTTGTTAAAATTCATATCCTCTAGCTCATCCAATCTCATGCAGCGATCAGTTATGAATTAGCCCGTCAGTGATTGCTGTATAAATGTTCTACTATACTGGGGTCCACCGGATGAATACTCCGTTACCAGTCATGATCAAGGCTGTGCATCACGGGGCAAAAGCTTCTGTCGATGAAACTCGGTTTGATCGACTTACTTTCAGGTTCCCTAACTAAAGTCATCGTGTTCGAATTTGATGAATTTTCAAAATGAGTATCGTAGGTTCGATGTGCTCACTTGGCCCAGCCATCGACCTGCTCACACCCAACCGAACCATAGCCAAAACTCCTTCTGCGAAACCTGTGGCGTTTTCTGCACTACGCTATATGGTGAACTTGTGAAAATTATTTAGGAATCCCGTGGCAGCTACAACTGCTGTCCGACAAGTACGCGGCTCTTGTAGCTGACAATGATGATGATTATTTCTGAACAACTGATTTTGTCTCGATATCATTCCAATAGAGAAGAAAAAAGGAGACCTGACATTGATTGTTGGTCTCTTCCCTGGTGTTTCCAGTTTTCGAGCATGAACTGATTAACTAGACGACTTTCGGTTGTGGATGCAGTTACGCTTCTACCCTTGGGATTTTATAGTCCAAGAAGAGAACTTGGGTTCTTCTTCATTGCTTACGGGACCGGACACTAGATTGCGCCACTAGCTTGAACCATGATCTGACAGAGCTCCTCCAATTCTTTGAGATAAACCACTTACATAATTCTCTTGTGCGTGATGCAGCCCACTAACTGTGACCTAGATCGCTTGCCACATTTTGTGCGTCTGGGCTGTTTGCTGAGAGTAATATTTTTCCACCTCAATTGGATCGTGCTAAAATATACCTAGTTTAGCTTTCCATAGGTTGACCATGCAAAGCACATGTAATACGTTGTTAGACACCACATCGTGCCTCGATTACTTATTCGGATAACCGCTAGGTTCCTATAATCCTCAACGGCCTATTTAGATCCCCCCTCATCCATGGAACAGCAGCCTTCTGCCTCGATTACCCCTCCAAATCATTGTCATATTTTAAACTAAACATTCTGTTTCTTAGTTTCGTTGTCGCAAATGTGTGAGGATTTACGTTTTGGATGCGTGTACTGGGTGACCTAGTCGCATCCCGCCGGCTGACTGGCTTTTTTCTATTCGTCTTACTTTAGTATCGTTTTAAACAGTAACAGCTGTGATGGTGGTGGCAACCAGGATTTGAGCGATCTTTTTGCGTGTGGGGGGAGGGGAGCGGTCGCTCCCTACAACCAAACTGTACTGACAGTAGTAGGGTATGCGGTGCACTTGAGTGAGGAGTATTCACTAGCCTATTTCCTTGTATATGTTTGTGTGCACTGCCTGAGGCGCAGGCGCACGCACACACAGATTAATGACTTACACATCTGTGCGCTGACATTTTTCATCTTATGTTTTCCTGGTCCCGTTTCCGACCATCCAGTCTCTTCAATGGTTGTGGATAATATTTCACAAAAATTCGCCTAATTTGCGACCCGTCCGTCTATCGCTCTTCGTGCTGCCTCGTTTATCAGTGTATCCATTTTGTATCTGTGTGTGTGTGCATCCCCTTCAGACGTTATCCACAACCTGTTTTGCCAGTGTTTCCCCAGAGTGATTTTGTCAGCTCATTGCGGTTTGGGGTAGTTCTTTGTCGTGATTTTGCCGTGTGATTTTTAGTCCCGTGATGTACATTGTGTAAGTCATCATCACCAATCTTCCGCTATCGTTGAGTGTTTTTCATATGAGGTGCTTTTCTTACCGTAGATTGCGCTGTTCCCATTCTCCACTTGAAAATCTCCCATTCGATACACCTCGATAGTCCCTAGCTGTTTCGCTTCTCAGCACACGGGTGTTTTTGTATAATCTTGTTGCGGTTGATGAAGCTGACTATACTGCTGTACACTTTCGTGATATCATCCTTATACGTTTCCAACGACGACATCACGATTAACATAGCTTTTTGTCCTTACACTACTGTCGACGGGGATGTTTTTTGGCTTTCCTTTGGAGATTACTCTCCAGCTTGGTTTCTCTCATCACGGCGACGTGAATCGTGGAAGTTTTCAACGCTTCTCGTGTGCCTGACGTCTCTTCGACCATTGTTGACAGTGGCTCCATTAATCTCCGGTTCGTTTGATAGTGCTCAGCATTCCTCTTGAGAAAGTACACCATCCTCTTTCTAAGCACTTGTGTGTGTGTTTGTAAGCAGAGCCTCATCAGTGAGGCCATTGCCTCTTCTTTGTCCGGAAAAACTGACTTCCGGAGTACGCTTGCACGTTTGCCATCCGATCGCAGCCTAGCTCAGCTCGGGACGATATCCCGGTTGGCGAGTATATGAATTTTAAGAAGAGAGGCAGAGGCATTTTGTTCGATGGAGTCGCTGTATTCATCAGACCCTTGGCTTGTGATCCTAACTAGAAATTTTGAAGCTTCACGGTTGTGATATTTCAATTTCCTAATCGCATTCAGATTTTTGGTGAATAGCCGCGGTGGTATATAAATAATCCTTCTGCTATTTTCGATTCAGCTTTACGATTCCGTGGTCAGTGCAGGAGATTCTGGCGTTGGCCCAAACGGCAAGGAAGCTTCTAACCTGTTGAGACCTGCATCACAGACCACACCACCACCACGTGCTTTTTTACCTACTCTGGCGCATGGGATGCGCGACGTACTGAGCGAGCAAGTGAACGGCGTTGAAGACTTGCTACGAGACCATGTGCCTCCATTGTATCCGGTTCTACGAGCCGGCAGCGCATCCCCCGGCCCCACTTCATCTCTGGGTGATGATGCAGTAATCGGAAATGGCGGCAATTCTTGTAAGGCGGACGATGAAGATATTACCAGGTCTAGACTAAAAAGCAACCTGAGGTTTCCTTCGACTACTGATACTATGACTGGATTGCCTCGTGGTGTATTTGATCCTTATTACGGCCTCGGTAAGTTACTGAGTATTTTCAACCTGACCTGGGAATTTCATTCATGTCTTCCCAAATTCAGAAAGCGTTTGAAGGCGATGGTTTAGACCTGTTCATGTTTGTTTTGGGCTCCGTCTTCTCGGTCAGGCGTCTTTTGGGCGCACCTAATTCATCTGGGACAGTTGATTGTACTGAGCTATTCGGTCATACTAGTGGCAATTCTCTACTCTCAGTTACTTCCAAGCTAAGCCTCAAGGGTCCTGCTGGTCTGAGATGTCATAAAACACAACTACTACATTGTGTGAAGCAACCGGACGAGTGTGATGTAAGATGATGTGTACCTAGTCATGTGACCGAACGTCAAACCATATTCCTGGATCCTGTGCTTAATGGTTCGTGCTTCTAGGTTCTCTCTTGGGTACTGACTCTGAAGCTCGCGCAGCTGTCGATATATCCTCGGTAGATCTCATGACGGACGATCGGTCACTATTACTTTCGCCCTCAGTAATGCAGGGGTGACATCCTGCACTACGTAGTATCGGACCGCAATGGGGTCCCACACGATCAGACAATACATTCAGACGGCTTCACTGGACAGCACACAACGACCTGGATTGGGAGGATAGTTTGAGGCTCTGGTATGCCTTGAAATACTGGAAGCCCGGAAGTCGAAATTATAGGTTATGTGACATGACAACGTTGCAGAATGCGTGCAGCCCATAGTTATGTACATGCTATAGCATAAATGCGTTTCGACTTTTCTTATGAGCAATCGAGTTCGAACTTATCGACCAGAAGGTCTGTAGTTGGAACCCAACCTCAGCACCTTGACTGCTCCTGCTTAGATTTGGAAAGCCTGGAAGTATATCAGCCCTTGTACATCCTTCAGGTGGCATGGCAGTTATGCACCCAAAGGATGTAATAGCTACAAGAGTTTTTTTTAATCTGAGGGGGTTAGAAAAAGAATACCTGTGAGGAGGAAACATTATGTATGATTTTAGACAGGACTGAAGTAATGTGCGATACTTCCCGTCTAGTTTGATATAGGATTCAGTACAAACGGTCCTCCAAACTTTGGATAAAAGACATAGAATAATGTTTACTATCGCCTCACTCAAGCTGTCGAAGAAATATCTGAGCAGATGAGGAAATATGCCGTAGGGGACGGGAGCAATACCTAGTGAGTTTTCATAATAAAAAAGGTTAGTTTTCACAAAAAGGTCAATGCAGCCTTACACTCTTCGATTCGGCCACGAAATCCGGCCGGAACCTACTTAACTTCCGTGTTGCCTGTACATTTATTGCAGTCGTAACAGCAAGCATACCTCTTCTGTCCCGCTCAATCATCATCATTGCCAGCTGTAAGAATGGCGTACTTGTCGTACAGTGGTCGTAGCTTACACAATTTCGTTCACCGATAGTTTGGGGAGTCGGGGTAGGTAGCTGCGCATTGAAGGCGGGAGCTTATAAATTAGTGCGTAAATACAACACTATCAATGAACTGTTAATTGGGGGCATTTGGAAGGGAGCTATGCATCAAAGGCACTAACCTGGATGCATGAGCGCCATTGAGGGCGCGACTGGACCATGTCTAACAATGTCTCCAACCATCGACATGGCTCGTCTTGGGGTCCCAATCCAGGAAGACCGCAGTGACCAGCGCAACTGAGTTTGCAGGTAATGGCTTTCATACTTAGCTGCCAAGTCATTGTTTGACCGCCTCTGGCTCTCTCCCACCCTTCACGTGGTTGTGCGAATAGAGCCCTTCGAGGGCGTCGGTCGACTGGCATAAGCATCTTGTAGCCAAGCCATCGCGACCTATGCACTGTGATCAGTTCATCTATCGAGGGTGAGTTATTTATTCCGAATACCATTCGACGTACTTCAGCATTGCTGAAGTTCTCTGTCTGTTTGTGAGGCTGATAGTAATATTGTGAGCCTTTGACTTCAACACCAAATGAACACCTCTTCATGGACGCCGTAGAACTCAATAACTCTAGTCTAAAATAGTGTACTATAGCTATAGTCTACTATAGCTCCACAAATTGTGATAACCGACGTTTGACGGTAGCTTTTAAATCCACGTCGGTTGTTTCACCTTTTCCCAGTATTACACCAGTTTTCCTGATCTTTCGCTTCAGTCTGTTCTGTTTCTAAGTTGTCCAGTAGTGGTAGTAGTATATTTCTGGAGTTGTCACGCGGATGCATTGTGTAGCGAAGTTTTTTGCACACTGTTACATGCGGGCGACACCAATTACCTCTGGTCTGTGCATTTGTATCTGAATATGTTCTGTTCGTGTGTGCTCCCCTGTCACAATGATGGTGATAGTGGCAGCGGTGGTTGTACACATACTGGTTGTCCTCGTCGGCGCCCTGTCTATGAGGCAGACTGCTTCTCCTTCTCTGTCCCATCCTCGTCTTGGTGCGGGTTGAAAACCGGGTACGCTGCTCTCATTCGGAACCATCAGCTATTCTGCCAGGAGTGTGCGTTGCATGAATGTATGTAGTGACCTGGTCACATTACGAGGCATTCAGCCATGTTACTTAAGTGTTAGATAAGCAGGACTTTGTTTTTGACTGTAGTGGGCATCCATCGGACGGTTGTGTGAAACTCATCAGGCGAATAGTTGGAACGCTATCCGGAAACCACAACTGGGGATGGAACCATGAAGACCCTGGTCAAACGTGTTCATAAGCGGACAAATTGATCACTTAATAATGGTTTCTTCTCAATGTTTAAACCGACCGAAGCCCTAATGCGACTTCTGGCGATCCAGGTATATTACTGCATTTCGACTGATTACAACGTCGTAAACTTAAAGAAATAAGGTTTGCGAGTGGGGGCAGTCTGTCAGTCATCGGGTACCACAACCCAGACGAAGTAATGTGCCCTCCGCTCAGGTTCTGCGCATGAATTTCCTAATTTTAGTTCCAGAACAGTAAACGCCTTGTTGAGGTGGACAAATCAAAGACGAATACAGGCCAAATTCAAGCCTCTGAAAGCTTTCAAGCTCGTCCAACAGATCAACGGCCATCTGATCATCCACCAATCAAAGCACACTGTCATCCTGTCATGGCGCGATTGCTCTTGGTAGCCTAAGCAAAGCAGGAGAGGGGTTGGTGCTGAACTCAAGTTCCGCACTCCATGGATCTCCTTAGCATTGCGAATTCTTGCGGCCCTACCGGAATCTAAACTCTGAACTCTTTAGATGATGGTGATGTGAATACAATTTAAAGTTTCTGGATACATTTGGTCGTATCAGCTCACACTCGTATGTACCACTCCTGTAGGAGCCTAACCTAGATCAACGTTTCAACAGCAAAGTGCCGGTGATGAAGGCCAGTTTGGCAATATCATACTGCCCTGTTCCCTCATACTGTATGTGCTGGGAGCTTCTGCCACTGAACACTCCTTTCCTCAGTACACCACTCGTGTGTGTGGGGGGAGGGGGGAAGAGGGTCGCATTCCTTTACGGGAGACGTGAAAAACTCGCCCAAGAATCGATGTGCCTGAATTATTTATGTCAATTAACAATCAACACGCTGCTATCATTGATCCGTTGGAAAGCGTGGTCATGGAATATACCTATTAGTTGCGAAATTTGTTGGTAATCGTCATCCTCAGAGACAGCAACATCAGTGTTGGCTACACTGCTTCTCTGCCGTACAACCACAAAGTTTATCTGGTTATATTTCAAGCCTTAGAATGAAAACATTAGAACAGAGTGGGTGAGGGAGGGGACCTGGTGCTGCAAGCAGTCTGAAGTGCCTACACTTCCAAGCGCTCAAATTCTGGAAAGTACAACCACAAAGTTTATCTGGTTATATTTCAAGCCTTAGAATGAAAACATTAGAACAGAGTGGGTGAGGGAGGGGACCTGGTGCTGCAAGCAGTCTGAAGTGCCTACACTTCCAAGCGCTCAATCACATTCTGGAAAGAAACTGACAGCACGAAGTCACTAACATCGATCATCCGCCATTTTTTGCAATGTCTCCAACCAAATGGAGAAGGGGTCACGAGGGCCCCTTCCTGGTGAGCCTACCGCACTAACAATACCCAAACTTTTCGTAATCTCTTTCACATCCTTTTGCCATATCATACGTTGTCCACCTCGTGGTTCGCGCCATTCTGAATGAGGCATGGAGAACAAGACTCGTCTCCGTACACGGTGTTTTGGCTGCTGTAGCACATGGCCCAGCCACCACAGTTGACAGTGCTGGATGTTTTCCACAACTGAAGTACCAGCCGAACAACCAGCTAGCCGTTTTCTAATCACCCCGTTACGAATTCGTTGACGCCATCCGACACTAACAACGCTTCTGAGGGGGTTGGTGGTCAAAAACCTGAAGGCGCCCCACGCCATCTCTTCGTAATGCAGTTTCATAACCGGTCAACTTGAATGCAAATCGTGTTACCATGTCTGTTTACTGGGTATAACTCAGTTTTCCGACTTTATGGCTCCCAACTTCTTTCCGGATTATCAGTTATCACTTTTCTGACTCTAGCTCCATTCTGGTGCCTGGCCGCTAAGCTCTGAGATACTTTCTTGGAACTAGTTTGGGTTCCTTGTAGTCATATCCATATGTTCTATTCAAATCTACTGTCGTTTTCAAACCTTTCCCAATCATATGCTTTCCAAATTGACTGGTGAACATTCCATCACCGAGTTCAATTCACTCATCATGAAGTTGAACAAAGCACCGAAAACGTATACCATACTGATGACGGAACATCCACGGTCCATTGTATCCAAGCTCAGTCAGCAAACTAGGAGTTACTGAGACCATTCGCACTATCAGTGTTTCGCAACTTTGTTTCCCCGTTCTCCAGACGGTGTTTTGGTGTCGTCTTGTATCCCGCTTCAACACAACACTTTCCCGTGCTATGATGTTAGCTGTTTTCCACTGTTTTGTTTACTTGAAGCGGAAAGAAACAAAATCGGGATTCTCCTTGCACAAACACGTGCGTATCGACCGCCAGAACAGATGTCTTGTAATCTGACTTGGATTCGGTAATCACACATGACCACTGTAGCTATACCTGGTGTCTATGAACAAAAATTTCCGGCTTCCTCCAAAATGAAGAAAACGTTCTGGTGCATACAAGGAATGACGGCCCGTATGGACATCTGATAGTGGTCAATTCTTATTTCCATTTTGTCTTCCTCAGACACTGCAGAAGACTGAAAAATGTATATTGGCGTTGTACAAGTGCGCCGTTTAGAGCGTTCGACGGTCATGCTTGAGAACTACTCACAAGAAGTTGTATGCATCTTTCGAATGTAGACACCTGAATACTCTTTAACTGTTTTCGGTGATTGATTGAATATCGAGACGACTGGAGATGTGATTTCTTCCTCCATCATGTGAATAGGCAATTCTATATACTTTCCTATCGTTGTAGATGTTTTGGGTTGATTTTGCTTGAGATGGAACATCGGGTAAAGCGCTTTCGTCCAGTGCAGTTGGGTATTTAAAATCTCCCATCAACCTCTTGATTTCTTTTTTTTAAGTCTAAGAAGTCCGATAGTAGCACAGCCGTCCTTCTTTGTGTGCTATTCAACAGCAGCAACAACATTGTTTAACTCGTTCAACCATTCGGAGCTAGGTGCATTACGTTCTAAGCGGTTCCCCCGCACGTTTCACCAGATTTTGGTCAGTCGAAGATTGCAGTCTTTGGTTCTGTAGGACCCGTTTTTTCGGGGGACCCTAGTTTCTTCCTTCCCATGAGCCTTTGTTCCGGGTTACCAGCCACTTTGGTGCACAGTGCTTATCAGTTCCTGAAGGACTAGTGTCGTATGACTATCTTCATTTTAATCGGCTTACGTCGTTGTCATTGTGTAAGCAGTGCACACTACGGCTGACGCATCCACCCTCTCATCCGCAATTGGGTGCGGTCATGTTTGTTCTGGGCCGATGAATCCTACAGCTCTTGTGCTTCAGCTCACTTCTCAGCAAATACAAGACTTAGGCTTCAGAATAAGGCTTATTAAGGCTGTGCGTTTGCAATCTTTGAGAACGTTGCAAAAACGACATCGCCGGAATCTTGTTCAGATTACCTACCGCAACCTTTGCACGGTGGACGGACGTTTTGTCCGTCCTTTGGAGATCAACGTTCGTTGCCTGAAGCGTAGCTTCAGCCTCTGTTATCTTCGTGCCCCGGGTTTCATTTGTCGGAGAAGCGGTTACCGACCACGAATTCATAATGTTATGCTTTTAGTTACCCGGGACCAGTTTTGTGAGTGTCTCGTTGTGTACGCTTATTCGCCTTTCAGTCTGGTCTGCTTATTCCACTTTGGGTGCGCGTAGCCTTCTACCGTGTAATCTGGTGATGCACTTGTTGGCTTGAGTTGATCTAGTTAGAAAGACTGATGTTAGTTTTGGGTTACTTCCCGATATCGTGCGCCGACTACTGCTTTGTTCAACAATCGTCATGTTGTTGAGTACTTGTAATTCGACATCATTTCTTGCGGATATTTGTCCCATAGGTTCAGTTGTTGCTGACAGGTCGCCTTGGCAACTCCATTCTCTTAAAAACAATGTTGTAGGTGGGGTCACCTTCGGTTTATCCTTTTCCTCACCTTTACTGCTCCCCCTATTGATCCACGTGCGTGCGCCCGTGTGTAATCTATGTACCCATGCGGTCGTCTGCACAATTCGCGCAGTCTTGATAAGTTTTCCTTTCCTCCACCTTCCCTAAACCTCGACGGAGGGACTTTGTTAGTTTCTTCCCGTCTAGCCCGGAGGCTGAAAATCGTAGTTCGCTATTTGAAGAAACATCTGTGTAAGCGTGATATTTTGTTGCATGTGTTTTCTATTAGCGTTGCGCACAATCCCCGGGGATTTGTTCAGCTCTATTTGCACCGCGCTGTTGCCAGAGTACAACACGCGCAGCAATAGTTTACCTTGCTTCATGCGTTTATTTTCGTGTTCGAATTCGGCAGGGATTCATGCTCCGGTCACACACACACACACACACACACGAATTTTCCCGTCTCAGTTTGCCTCATTTGTTATTCTTGTTTGTTTGTGTGCTCGTATGATGATTTGTGTCGTGTCTTAGTTTGATTACTCTTCACAACCCCCCGCCTCCCCCAAAGGAGGAGCTAGCTCCATTTCTTAACCGCTTTTTTATTTTTCTTCTGTGTAATTTCTACTTTCCGTGCGGAGATTGACATCTAGTCACCGTTAGGGACGAAGTGCCAGTCGTGTTTTCCGCTTAATATACCACCTGGTGTCGAAGGTCACTTCAAATGCTTCTTTGTTCAACGAACAGGAAATAGGAAAATTAGACCACCACGGCGGAAGGTATTTCGACGTCTCGAAGGCAGCCGTTTGCTAGGGTATCGCTGACTGACGAGGAACGCTGTTGTGGAGATTCGTTTCACTGAGCTTCCCACTGACCCTAGTCGCTCTTATTTGTTCTATTCTGTCCCATACAGAGGCCTCTTCAATTTGTGCCAACGGCCCAGGCGCTGCAGCTCTCTGGTCCTCTTCTTTGACCTCCACTTCCGGTGATAACCCGCATTCCGGTCAACAGCATTCACTGCCCAACTTCCTTTCCCATATACCACCTCCCATCGTCGGCTCGTCTGGTGCCCCACCAACATCCGCCTACCCGATCGGCTCTGCTTTCTCCCAAGCGACACCCAATCATCCTCTGCATCACCAACCACCACAACCACAGCCAAATCTAGTAAGCTTTCTTTATAATGTCTCCCAAACGTTGTTTTACCGGTAGGGACTTTGGTTGTTTCTGGATACTTTTTCCACTCCCCCGTCACGCGCGTGTTGTTTGCTTATTTCCTCCAGAGTATTTAGCGTTTGACTCAGTTGAATGAAACTTGCTTTTGTTCCAGACCATTCCATATCCGAATTCTGCCAATTCGATGTACTCCTCGCTTGGACAGCTACGTTCGGGTTCTCTATCCACCAACCGGACTGGTCTCCATCAGACTGATGCAGCGAGTATGTTCTTCACAGTTACTGTTCTGGATACCCGCAGTTTCCATTTTGTCTGTTGATTGTGCCAGTCATATTAATTAAGGTGCGCTCTTTTTTGAAATGGTATCATGGACATTGAGTAAAAGAGAAGTCACTCAAAGCCGTGTATCGAATTATGTTCCCTTAATGTTGTGCGAAACTGGGCTGTGAATCCAGTTTACGTGCGTCCCAAATCTCCAAATCAGTCGTTTACATACTCCGTTTTCCACACCTCTACTTCGCATCTCTCAATCTAACCGATGATTTAGTTTATTGCGGGATGGTACATTTGAGGTGTTGACTCTATTCCCTCTGACCCTAGTCTTCCTAGGTACACTGAACTCATTAGTATTGCCATTGGCTACTCGAACGCACAGTGGTGTGGAAAATGCTCGAGTCTCTTGTTCATTTGAAGCGGATCGTTTGGCGCGCAAATTGCTTCAGGACTCCGGGAAAATGTTTCCTGGTTTGCGTTTAAGTATTTCGCGTCGTGCGGGGCGTCAACACTACTCCTTTTTGCATAACAGTCGGTCGGATTTTGTAAAGAACCTAAGAAACCCTGTCTGACCACTTAACTTTTCTGACTGATGACACTGTGACTGAAATTTCACAGTCAGTATACTCGTGTGCTGATGACCCCTTACTTGGCAGCTAGTGCATTACGTGTGTTCGTCATTCTTTGGCTGTAGGTCTTACCTATGACATCGCTTCAGCATTTCGCATCAAAGTTCGAGCATTGAGTTTGCTTTACTTAGTTATGTTCGAATATCAGGCGTCCGGATCTTGTTAAAACAACCTGCCTCGTTCAATTACAATACGCAAAACCCTCTTCTACTCCATTGAACCTCACAGATTCAACTCAAGATTCCGGTTCAACTTATCCTCTGGGTGAATTCACTCACCTTCAGCCATCCGCATCCACTGATCCCAATTTGGGTCTGATGTCATCTAACTCGTTTGACAACCACCCTGCATCTGGACTACCGCAGTTGGTAGGTTTCGTGCTGGATGAATATTGAATTCAGGCATTCGGCTTTCTTCTTTGATGGGGATTGTCCGTATGCTTCATTTTCCCACCCCATATTGTCATATTTTGTTGTTTATCTCGTCAGAACACACCTGTTATCTCTACTTGGTCACCATAATCGGTTTGATATCTCAGTCCTGGGATGGGGTGGTGGGATACTGTACATCATGCACCTCTTCGATCAGGAGAGTTGTTGGAACTGATTCTGAATCGAGATCACGCATGGATCGTGTTCACACTTTTATCACCTCCGGCAACATTAGCTCTTGTTCCTCACCCCGCCCTCTTCCTAGTTGTTAGGTCAGTCTGGCCTGATCGCGCATGCTAATTTACATATCACCGATCTGTGGTGATCTGCATATAATGTTTCTATTCACGATCGAGATCCAGTTTCTATGACCCGAAGTGGTTTAGTCATGGCACATCCTTATCCTCACGCCCTATTTTGTTTCCATTCAGACACCTGGACCCCGACCCTTTCCGAGTGAAATATCTGCCTGTTCAAGGGACAACCTTTTGTCCCTCTCGGGTGAGTTTGTCCGTTTTTTTCGCTCCTCAGCCGCGCGGATGGTTAAATATGATAGTCTGATTACCGTGGCTCGTTTCAGTACAACTCACTATTCAATAGCCCTGTTCGTCTCCGTACAATGCTTCAGGTCCAGGTTTGGATGACGTGGACGATCCGTCTCAAACCTCCTGCGGTCTCCTAGGTCCACATTCCTCAACCCCGTTCTCTCATTCTAACACCACTTCGAACACAGCCAGTGCTGGTGGTCGGATGGCTCGCAGTGGTCGGGTGGCTGGACAAAAGAGACGCGCGTCCTCCATCGTCACTTCCGGTTCGGCGGAAGGGAATGGGACAGGAAACAATTTGGACGCGATTTCGGCCACAACCGCCTTGGCCTCCATGCTGTGTAGCAACAACGCTCTCGGTTCGGATTGTTCTTCATTGTTTGGGGAGTACGACCTTGCCAGTCGAAGTTTTACACATGGTCAGACTTCTAGCTTGTGTGGAACGGATTCAGAAGAGACAATTGATCCAGATGAAACCCCTGAGCAAAAGGCCGAACGTGAACGAAGCCGAAGACAGGCCAATAACGCGCGAGAACGGTAAGCTTCGTATGGATTGTCGTTCTCACATCATTTATCTGCACACCGCTCTGGTGCTTCTCGTACTCTTTTATCTGTCGCAAGGGTTCTATTGGTCCTCGGTCTACCAGGCGATGGAACACTGTGCAGATGACCATGCATTACCTGTTCTGCGCTTCCGTAAATAGCAGAAGTTCGTGAGTATGATTCCCTGTTGACACCTTTGGAAAGTGTTCCTCGAATTTCGCATCACAAGACCTCGATATATCCACCTCCCAGTATCGACAACTCAGTTCACTAAACCAATTCCGTCTGTGTTCCTGGTGCTGTCATGCATGTACTGAAAATATGGTGTCGAAGTGTTACAGGCATAAAAATCGTCCGGCTGTAACAACCTTTCTTTGCCTGGCTGTCGTGCCACTCGAAGGAAGCACCTGGGCTGAGATACCACCAAGCTGCCAAGATCTAGACAGGATCAGCCGAGATGCGAAAGTGTGGTTCAAACCACGGACCTTCCGGCTTTAACAACTGAACGGTTTCAGACTCTCATAAGCATACAGCAGCCTTCCGATTGGTCCCTCATGAAAAAGACCATGGTGCCTCAAACCATACCAGAAGATTGATGGGCAGAATACGAAGAGCCAGAAAAGTCCGGAAAGCCTTCGAAGCGTTGACCCTGGTACTGACAAACAGCCATCTTTCAGAAATCTGAAACCGTTGACCTTTATCGGCATTTCCACCAGTTTCTTCATAGTTATGACGAGTCAAGATGTCCGAAGGCTCCAGTTTTATCTCCGATGCGCGTGCCTAGTACTGACTAACGAGTTCCATTCATTCAGTTACCACATGAAAGCGGTTTTGTGGCCTGCGTGTTCCTCAGATCTGTTATTCAGCGTGAAAGACCCTTTGATCAGTCACCCGATGATCGTTCAGATGTGTAAGCGTTAACTCAGTTGCTACTCATACCACGTGAAGTGAGATGTTTCTGGCCCTCAAAAGGTAGTTCGGTTCTGTACAACAGACTTCACTGGACACTGCCCAGTTAATATAAACATGTTAGAGACAGTCTATGAAGGTATTGAAGTATTTTCGGACAGTCATGTATTCACAAGTCCATCGTCTATCTCCTATAAGCACATGCTTAAATAATGTGCATCTGAGATCACAGGCCAACTTTGTGGACTACAAACGAGTTGAGTAACACAACCTCGACTTCAATTACGGTCAGATGCTCAACACCTTTAACCTCGATTCGAAGAGATGGCTCAGTGGTTAGGGCGCGGATTTACTGACCGGAAGGTCCGCGATTCGAACTCGACCTCTGCATCTCGACATCCCCTGTTTTGGACAATCTGGCAGTATCCCAGCTCTCGTGCTTCTTTCGGGTGGCATGGCAGTTAGGCATCGAAAGGGCGCTACCGCTGGACGACTTTTTTCAATTCGAACTGTTGCCCACAGTGATCGGTGATATCAGAAAGCGCATATAGTTGCGGTTTATTTGTTTGACAATTTTTCGGGATGTCCAGTGTGGGGGAATCAAAGTGTACTACATAGAATTCAGCGTGCCACCAAAGTGGGGACTCCGTGATAGCACAATCCTGTTCATCAGTGTGTGTTGGAGGGCCACAACCAAGAGTCATTTGGGAGCAGTTCTGTACGATGCTTCACCGTAGGCCCACCATTAGACGGTACCAGTGTGATTTCTCCAGCCCCTCCTCCATTCCCCCTAAAAGTCGCATGATACAATGCAGGTATAGTCCGTCCCATGGAAGTTTGGTGTTCGAAAAAACAATTTGAGACCGGTCGGTTTGGCTTACTTGATCTATTTTGATAATCCGAATGTGAAAAATACCAACCTGTCAACACTTCCAGTTAATTTCCCTCATTTTTGCGTCACAGGTATATAGTCCATCGTTCTGCTGTTGAATTATATCCGACTGCAAATGTTGTAAGAGGATATGTGCTCAAATTATACCGTAGATGATCCGTACATGATAGAGAATTATAAAGAATTCGAAATCAAGTACATGAAAAATGGTGTTTTGAGTACACATGTCTCTGCTTGCTGTCAACCTATCAAATTTCAGTTGAGCCCAGATAAAAGGAAGTAAAAATAAACATGCCAGATTTATTTAACAAAAAGAACAAACACTTGTCTCAACTGCCATTCAGTTGTCATATACAACTAGGGGTTCGGTTGAGCCCTCTAAGAATTGGGACCCCTTGCTAGAAGCAGCCACTTTAAACTGGGTGGCCCCTGTTAGGAGAGGAACCAATATACTTCAACTTATCAAGCGAAGCGAAGACTAGGTTATCATCGGTATCGTACGCGATATCACTTCTTAACTCACTAGGTTTCTTGTCTTTGGCGGATTGTGTCAGCACAGAGCAGTTTTACTTACGCATTCCCTACTCTCTGGCCACCGTAATGGCGACGGAGTTAATATGTTTGATTCCACATTTTCAGCTCGATCGATACCAGTTTGCTACCGTATGTTGAAGTTTTATAATGGAGACTTTCTGGAGAATTCACGACAAATATCTCCGCCCATCCCGACGTATTGTGCGATATCATAGGCAAGAAGTCTTCCCAACCAGCAGTCGAATTATATATCATCTTCTTGGTGATGTTCTTACTGATGACTGCATAGTGTCCAAAATTAACTTGTGAACCAAACGACACTTTCTGGAACGAACATCGTTGGCCGATCGCATTAGCGTGCGCGCCCTACTTCCTACTGCATTGATAGACATCTGTTTTCCCTACCGCACGGTTTGTTTTCCGAGACGATAACTTCTCGATCGGTTCCAAGCATTTTCCAACTGGATTCCCATACAGTCTTCCCAACCAGCAGTCGAATTATATATCATCTTCTTGGTGATGTTCTTACTGATGACTGCATAGTGTCCAAAATTAACTTGTGAACCAAACGACACTTTCTGGAACGAACATCGTTGGCCGATCGCATTAGCGTGCGCGCCCTACTTCCTACTGCATTGATAGACATCTGTTTTCCCTACCGCACGGTTTGTTTTCCGAGACGATAACTTCTCGATCGGTTCCAAGCATTTTCCAACTGGTTGGATTCCCATACTCCCATGCTTATTCTGTTCCGCTCTATCTTTCCTTTCACCAACTAACAGTCTTCGCGTGAGAGAGATCAATGACGCGTTTAAGGAACTGGGTCAAATGATAAACATTCACACGGGCAACAGTCAACCGCTCACCAAACTGATGATTCTTCAACAAGCGGTCACTGTTATTACCAGTTTAGAACATCACGTTCGAGGTTAGAGGAACCGTTAGGCATGGTTTCCAATACCCTTTGCTTACAATTGCATGTACATATGTACGTCTTATATCCATGAGCATGGCCTGCTTGCATCTGCTTGCCTGATCGTTCCACCATCCCATCCCCATTCGCTTTTGTTCCCGGTCACAGCATCCGGGTTCGCGATATCAATGATGCATTCAAGGAGCTTGGTCGCATGTGCATGATGCATTTGAACAGCGAACGGCAACAAACAAAGCTAACAATTCTTCAACAAGCTGTTACGTTGATTACCAGTCTGGAACAACAAGTTCGCGGTGAGTCGAATGCGTAGTTGTTCGAATCAAACGGCTTTCGAGTCTTCTGCCTGGCGTTCCGTTGGACTACCCTAGTCTCCTATTTTTTTTGTGGGTTGACACAGTATCTCCTACTTTTATTATCCATACAGAACGCAATCTGAATCCGAAACAGGCTTGTTTGAAACGTCGTGAGGAGGAGAAAAGCGAAGGTCATTTCGGAAGTACTAGTCAATCTCGTACTGGTTGTCTGCTCACAGGAGGTGGTGCACCTGAATCAGCAGTTCACTTGACGGCCGGTTCTGGCACCACAGCGGGGTTCTCCACGACACCTGCCGTCGCTGCATCAACTTCCACGTCAATAGGCCTGTTTGGATCGGGGGCACCTGGCGGGAATTTCTCGTCCACAGTGAACTATGATCCTCGCCTACCTGGTCTTCCGGGTTGTAAGTTATACTCTACTGCCTCGAACAACTTTCCTCGTTTCTACTCATTTCGATACTCAAATTTAAATGCATTGATCATTTGTGACCTCCGTGTGTGTTTTTCACCAAGACCTTCCAAAGTCGTCTCCCCGGACCAAACTCCTTGTGTCATGCCTTTATCCAGGCTAGTAATTCTAGTTAAGTGCCAATGCTGAATCGAAGATTAGGAACGGCTTACTGTTAATCAGCGATTCATTGCTCTCGAGACTGTGTCAGACCACTAAGGGTTGTGATGTGAATGATTTTTTGGACTGATGCGCGCGTCCGTTTACTGCACAATTGTAAAACTGTAGTGCTTCACGTCGGGAACAAACTATGGGAATGTTCAGCACCGGAGTTGTGTACTTGCTTACCTATTTTTGGGCTGCTGTGTATTGTATTGTATTTTTGTACAGCTCATAAAGAACAAGTACTCTAGAATGACAAGACAAAGCAGCTGTCGGGCCGCAAGCCTCCCTTGAGAATATCCGTGGTCCCGCATTGGTTTCTCTTGTCGAAGTTTGGACAGCGTTTCACTGCCTGTGCTTTCTACGTGTTACATGGCGTCTATGCACCAAAACTGTGTCACAGCTGAATAAATTGATTAGACCCTTAATTTCACGATACACGATCTGTAAGTTGATGAAAGTTAGTCTGGTAGCTTCCCCTTGAATCTATGTGTGGTTTGCAGGTTCGACTGCGAATTTGCAAAAAAGTTTGCTCGGATTCAAATCGTATTTAAGACCTTGTTTTTTTTGCGCAAATCTGGACACTTACTTTTGTTATGATACACTTATTTTTCCTGGTCAGCACCAAGGATGGAAGCGCCAAACTCGAATTCTGTTCCCATCGCGGCTCATCAGTAGCGCATATTCTAGGGTCTGGATTCAAATTCCGAACCACTACTCCACCAACATGTACTGGACACGCTTGAATTGCTACGTTTGGACAGGCTAACGCGATCGCAATCAGAACAACTTGATTAGGTTGTCTGATGTCTTGAATGTCCGTCGAGGCACTCGTACGCTTTTCGTTAAAGCAAAAGTGCCGTTGGGAGAGGGAAAACTTTTCCATCACCATACTCTACTCTACTCTCATACACCATACGCTACTCAATTTGAAAAGCGCATCAACTTGATTACGCGCTACGTAAGCCGATCGGTCTCTCATAGTTGCCAGTTAGCTCGCTCCCAGTGTTATCGCTGTGGTCGAATTCAGTCTATACCATATTGTGCAAACCATATTGGTACAAACCAGTCTTGCTGGCCGGAAACCCGGTTATTTAGTTTGACCGATGCTCTGCACTGGTATGTCTTCCCCCTGGGCGGGTTCAGTTAATCCCTGACCTCTGGCGTCCTACCTGGACAGCTTGGTATTTCCACCGCTCAGGAGGACGTCTGAACAAATATCGTTATCAATTTAGATTCCGGCCTATCAGCGAAGCTAATCTGTGCGGAAAAACCGAGAAGCACTCTACAGATCTTTCATCCTTATTGGGAATAATCAGTAGTGCGCATCTGACGAAACCCAGAATGTTTCGAATCCGCGTCCTTCCGGCAAGTGGTTGAGTGCTCAACCGTTTGACCATCAGCAACTGGTCAGCAGTGTGATTAGGTCTCACTTAGACAAGACAAAGTGCCTTTGATCCTTCATTCACTGAAACCACATTACGTGGCCACGTATTGAATGGCCCCTTGAGTGACGACTTCTCCGAAGGAAGCTTCACTTATGTGAAGAGCCAATCAATACATGATCACGTGATCGCAGGGTCAAGCGGCTAAGTGTTTAACCAATGGCCAAAAGGTGGTGGGTTCGAAGCTCTGAGTTTCCGTAGGTGCGCACTGATGATGATTCCCAACAAAGATGAAACAGCTGTACAGCGCTTATCGGCGCCTCAGCATAGATTAGCTTAACTAACAGGACGAAGTCCCTATTGATATTCATGAAATTTACTCATATGATCATGAAGTGACTAATTCACCCGCCTGTGACGCTATCCCTGCTCCTTCAAATTTAGCACTCCTTGCTCAGGCGCCAAAGGGCTTCTTATTTCACTGAGCAACGCTGGCACGAAAGCCTCATTCAACTAATCCTTCTGATGCTTTTTGATGTCTCATGTGAATCAACACTTATCATAAGGGGCATCAGACAACATCCATGTCCACAGACAAAACACCTTGTTTGTGTACTCACTTCGGTTTTGATATTTATTTAGCTCCCAGTTTCTGACTGTATCACATTCTATTCCCTCTCCAACAGCTGCTTACGGTGAACCAATGACATCCGCCGATTCTAGTGCTGCAGGTTCGCTCCTCATGTCGCTCACGGGCTCTTCGAACGAGATGTGCAACTCAGCCTATGGTGTCAGTCGTTCGGCAGAACTGCTTCCTCTTTCGTTGCCGGATGATGCTTATGGCCACCTCGGTCCTCATCATCTCTCACACGTCCTGTCCGACTTCACACCAACCACATCTACGGGTAGCTGGCTTCAAACAGCTAATAACCCTCTGTCTGCCTCCCCACAGCCCATGCTGTCTCTGCATTCGACCGATCGAAGTGCCAGCAATGTATCGTACGGCGAGTCTACCGAACGTCATCTGGCAGCTCGACGAGTACCCGGCGATGACGACGAAGACTACGAAGGTGAAGATGAAGAGGAGGATGATGAGGAAGAAGAGGATCCCACGGAGGAAACTCTAGACTGTAGCGACAGTCGCTGTGGTAACAAGCGAGTCAGCTCTAATAAACACGTGGGTGCTGGTGGTGCTAAATGCCCTCCTGGTCGTACAAACGGAATCAGTGACCACCCACATAAGACTAGTACTGGTGGTGGCCTGAGCACCTAACGATCTTTGTCGTTAACGAAATGCTCCCTGTATGCCGAATCTCACGAATAGGCATAACAAGATTTCTCCGTCCCCCCTCCCCTGTTTCTTGTGTAGGTGAACTTTTCCGTATTCCGCTAGCATTTATACCAAGTATGCATTTGTCAAGGCGGATTGTGTGAAATTGCACGCATTCGCACACACACACACACACACACACTACCAACAACAACAACATCCGCTTCGATTCCCCTTTTAACGGGTTTTGGTGGTGTGATTGGCGGCTCCGCGTAAATGTGCGTTTGTACTCCTAGTCCGAACTTCCCATTATTTTTCTCATTTTATCACCCGATTGTGGTTGTTCTCGCCCCTCTGTCCGAACTCAAGATCTCGTCACCCTATTTGCGTTTCGCACTCAGTGGTACGACCTGTTTTTTTTACCGTGCGCATGCATTTACGGTGGTATATGTGGTGCGTAATTTCCGTCTCGTTGGTTTTCATTTCCTGCGCCCTCCCGAGTTTTCATACTTTGATTGGTTTTGACCTCCACGCACTTTTCTAACCGTACTTTTCCTTCCTACCAGATTCAGCTGTAACACACGCTTCTCGATGTTCGAATAAGCTTTCAATTCGGTTAATGAATGGGGAGGTGTCGTCTTGTTTTTCCCCTACATCCGCGAATGCTGAATTGAAGGCCTACTTTGGACTCCCCCTCACCTCCTTGGCCGTTGCATTCTCCCCCCTTCCACTCTCTCTCCCTCATCATGTTCCCCTCCCATTCTTTTAATGTGGAAATTTCTATGAGATACCCTTATCTATCTATCAATCAATCTATCTATCTGTACACACATCTAACGCACGAAAAGCAATATTATACCAGTGTTTGGTAACGTGGGTCGATTCTCCCTACCACATAGTCGAGGACTCGAAAGGGATTTTGCCTCACCAGCCCAGTCAGAAACACCAGTGGGGACCCCTATTGTTCTAGTGATGTACAACCGCGGGAATTTTCTCTCACAAAGCAAAAAGAGGGGATGGTGGGAACGGGATTCGTACAGTCAATCTGGATAGCCACACTTTTGGTTAGGTTTTCTCGTAGTGTTTGATTGTGGGTGCAAACTCAAGTAGCAAGGAGTTGGCATGTGTTCATCCATTCCGGCGAATTGCAATTAGGCCATCACAATCGATGCCTACCAAGGGGTATGGACTCAGAAATCTTCGCGGACCTTGTCAATGGGCAGCATATAAAACCCGAGGCAAACGAGCAAAGTGCACTCGTGCTCCGCCGTCAAGTCGTTAAAACAGATGGAGGTTGAAACGGTTGGACAATAAATATTGTTAATGGGAGCTGGATTTTAAACGATGGGGCCACTTAATCGTGCTTCCGAGGATTGGGCTTGAGTATAAAACATTCCTTCTAAGTTCAATGTTTCTGATTGGTCGAATTTTGTCTTAGCCACCTTTACCGGATTAACAGGCAACCGTAAATATGGCTGACTACACTTTATTGACCCGTCTTATTTTGATGTTTCTGGCTGCTATCTTAGCTGTGTAGCCTGACGGCGTTGCGAAGACAGATGACAGCAGCCATCCGGGAGGTGACTTGAATGCAGCTGTAGTCAGTTTAGGAGAAAATCCATAACGAGTAGATAGAAATAGATTCTTTGGGGTCACAATCGAGGGTGTGAGCTTCCAAGGAACCAGTTTCTGGGAAGCCTCGTTCCAAATTGCATTATCGTGATGTATCCGAAAATGCAGACTAATTTAGACCCTATTTTTGTGCCGTAAGGCCATGGTATGCCGGTCCCGTGGATATTTCAAAACTCTTGGTAGACCAACCGTCAAGTTTCCGGTTTTCCTAGGTTGATGTTACCTACCGTTATTTACCTCCCTTCTGTTCATTTTTCTACATATTGTGCTCGTCTGAATGATTCTTAACCAGCACTTTCCCGAGTAATTTTACGATTTGCTGCCCTCTTTTTTCCCCACGGTCGATAGGTGACCAAGTGTCCCAGATATGCGACTGAAAAAGGATTAAGCTTTAAACAGTTCATTTCAGTCCAACCGAAATTGGGTGATCAACGACGCTTCCCGATCCGAGTGTTCTTTTCGTAGTGGGGTTTGCCCGACCTCTGTTACAGCGGCTACTAGCGATAGACTTTGCATCGATCGCAACTTGCAACCTGGTCACGAAAGGAACATGCACTCACGGAGTAGTTTACCCGTTTCAACTTTCGAACGCGCAAGCACGCTCGATTTTAACGTGGAAATTTTTTTTTAAATTTATTTTCTTTAGGCTTGGGTGGTTTTGGGGTGATAAGGTACTTACTGTGTGCAGTTCCAATGCTACAGTTGAAACTCCAAAAATGACGTTTTTTTCAAAGTTGCTTCATTAAATTGACCGGTTATCGTTAATATGAGATTATGTGAGAATCCGTAATCCTCGGTGTAGGTATACACGCGTTTCGCTCTTCTGAGAGGTTAGAATAAGTTCAAATCCAAACACCACTTTATCGTGGCGGTCGCCCTACTGTTCTGGCGCAATTATTCCGGTGAGTCCGCACACCAGAGGGAGGCACCGGGCCCGATTTCCACTCCCATTAGAGCGGATCGACAGTGTGTATCCAATGGCCGTGCCGGGATTTGAACCCTGGACGTCTGACATGCGAGGCGAGCGCGTTACCACTGCTCCACCAAGCACGCTGGGCGCACCTGGGTTTTCAACTTTGAACAAGCGAACGTGTTCGCTGGTTGTGACGACCGATTGACCCGCCAGTCAGGTAGCGTCACAGACGCTTGAAACCCACTGGGCCACTTTTTTATTTCAGTTGGGATCTTGCGGGTTATGTATTGTGTTCATATTCAGACCACTCTCCTTTGAACGGTCGTCCTCCTGTTCTGGTGAAAACTGTTACTCAATTTGTCCTTGGTAACCGGCTAGTTCGTCGCCGCAGCCATGTTCTGCAAATTTGTTGAGAATGCGAACCATGTGTGAACGGTGAACTGAATTTGAGTTGGTTTCATGATACTTTATTTATTCTCAACTATAGAAAAAGCTTGGGGTTCGTGTCACGCGTGCTGGCCCGTCCACTAATCCACCGAAGCCATTACTGGTGTTCGACGGTTCTGCCTTAATAAACATTCACCACTGACTCTGCAACTTTCGGAGTGCGTAGGAAGGAAAAGCATTTTGAATCGGTACAAAGCAGTATACACTGTCCCCCTGTAACTCGTATCTTACAGAGTCTGCCCCTAATTGTTTCACATATTGAAGAGACGTTCCGCTGACGGTTGGCGCTCACTTAGAGCACAAACTGCGTAAACCGATTACCTCAAGATGAGGTCAGCCGTATCGAAGGGATTACTTGCAGTACCGAACGAATGTGAGGATACCAACAACAAAACTGACTGTATAAAGCTGTCCATCGCATCATCTCACTGAGAAGTAGTAGAGGAAGGGAAATATTCCATCAGCATCAATAAATTATTACTGGGTTCGTCATCAATGTTAAAAAAATCAAGTACAGCTGTACAAGCTTAAACGCCCTCTAAGGGTTTTCATGGCAACGAATAAAATGATTCTCGGTAACTAGCGTGTGGTACGTTACAATGTATATCGATGAGCGTCCAGAGAAACACCTAAGTCGATTATTGAAAATGGTCAATGAGGAAGGTGAAACCATAAGAGAAGGAAGTGCGTCTAAAAGTTGAAATGCCCCCACTGGGGAATGTGATACTGCACGTGAAAGAACACCTCTGAGTAATTTAGCTAGATCATATTGACCTCTGACCATCCATATTCTGATCTGGCAATCGCTGGATATCGATAGGCTGAGTGTAAATCGACAGTGTTCACAGTGGCCGTGTTGTCCGGGAGCTAGAACTACTCGATGCTTGATTTTTCCAGCATGACTTGCAGGATTTGGGGGGATTACGGGTGTCAGCTCGTTGTCACTGTTTCTACTCAACCCCTAATTAACTGATTATTTTAGATTAATTTTTCTCATTTTGTCCGCTTGTATGAGCGATTCAATTCCTGTCAATGAAGGAGGTAGCTGTGAATGTTTAGACCTATGGTGCGTCGATGGGAATGTGCCCCATATATCCAAAAGATACCTATTTTTTATCCGCACCTACCTCCAGTGTATCATTCCAGTCGTCTAGGAATCAGTGGTTAATTCAACTCTTAACAAGGTCACTCTCAGAGACGGGCACTCTCAAATATTTGAATAGGCTTCCTGACGATACGGCGTACGAACCTATCTAAAGAACGTGACAGGTTTCACAGCAAATTTACCCTATTTTCAAGGATTTGTTTGCTCCGAGTGTCATACTCAAGTTTGTCAGTCCAGCGATCAGCTACTGTTCGATAAACCGATTAGTTTGAATGGGTTGGTTCGACTTCTTGCCGATTGAATACTGTGAGTTAGGTGTGAGTGATCAGTGAGTTTTGAACACAGCCGAAAAAACTGCTTTAGACAACTAAATAATTTTTCCTCCAAAGGATCAATGCTGATTACCATTTCAGTACCGGATGAAACCACTCATTACCAAGATCCACGAACCGTTCAGACAATCGCGCGGAAACGTCAAGGGATATAGTCGGAGCAATATTGTGCAGTCGTCGGCTGGAGCGTTCACCAAATTAAGTTGGAGCAAGATAGTTTATCTCGAGGACTGACTGCGTACACCAATGTTTAAGACAGCAAATTCCCCTAAATCCAGCTAACGATTTGACCCATAGACCTTAACCTGGCGTTCGATCGGGATTACGATATATTCAAGCGCTGATTCACAATCAAGAAAAATGTATTTTGAAGAAAAACATTGACAGTTTTGTGTCGGTCTTGTGAGATAAAGGCTGTACTGATCAATAGAAGACAAAAGTCGTAAAAGTTGATGGACATACGGCGGTGATAATTTAAAACATATAAATATACAAAAGTAAATATTTCAGTAACAGCCTAAAAACCAAAGGCTGTTGGGAACGAAGTATGAAAACACTAAACAGTAAACTTGGTCCGGTCAACAACTGCCGCCTCCCCGGATGGGGACCCCGGGGACTCATCTCACCAATGGCTAATGACACTGGCAGAAATGGCCCAAACGCGCAGTCAGGGGGCTCGTGCATCAAAGCTACACCTTCAGTAAGACAAAAGTCGTAAAAGTTGATGGACATACGGCGGTGATAATTTAAAACATATAAATATACAAAAGTAAATATTTCAGTAACAGCCTAAAAACCAAAGGCTGTTGGGAACGAAGTATGAAAACACTAAACAGTAAACTTGGTCCGGTCAACAACTGCCGCCTCCCCGGATGGGGACCCCGGGGACTCATCTCACCAATGGCTAATGACACTGGCAGAAATGGCCCAAACGCGCAGTCAGGGGGCTCGTGCATCAAAGCTATCACCTTCAGTGCATAGCTACCCGATTTTCGAACAAACTGAACACATCATCGCCTCAAAGGCTTCGCTGTATACCCCACACTCCCGTTTTCCGGTGATCAAAACTGTAGCATCTGGAGTCAAAGTGTGTCTATGGTACACCGTTTATAGCTGATAAACTGATTCACTGAAAGATCATCGAAGAAGGGGCGAGGTTACCTTTGTGTGTAAACGGGGATCATGTGTTACGTGGTTGAAGGGACATTCGCGTGTGCACTTTCGTGTACAACTCCACGTTCACCCACCGAAACAGTGAACCATGCTTAGAAGTAATACACCATTCATGAGGTTGCTGAAAAATCTTCGACAGCGCATGACCAGTTTCGCCCTTTTGAGGTTCATCAGGTAGGCGCAGTTCTCGAGTTTCTTTATGTTTCCTTATGTTCTACTTGAACTTAAAT